TCCTCAACAACGCGTCTCCTGAATGGACTGATTCCTGAACGTATATAGTTGTCGCAAAAGCTAGACAATATGCCTCGGAGAAGTCGCCATTCGACTTTTCCGGGTATAGATCTAGACGAGCGTGGAACATAGAAAATAAGATCAAATATGGATGAGGAAGACGGCGCTTATAACAGGAATAAGGTGCTCCAGGCTTAGCTGCAGAGGCTTACGTATTGCTATCACTGAAGATAATTACATTTACTAAAAGAGAGCGACGGACTTATATGGAGGTAGAGGTAATGAAAAAATCAAAATTAGTTACTGCGAGGCCGTGAAAGTAAGTCAAAACGACAACTTGGAAACAGGTATGTTTACAACCCATATGAAATCTGTAAACAGTGCTTCACACCACCAACATAAATACTGGTATAAAGTGGGCAGCAGCTCGGGAGCTGCAGAAAAGTCGCGACCAAGCCCCTAGCCTTGCATTAACCGCCTGTGCTCTCCATATATTCCTAATCCCTTCAGCCAGCATTCAATGACGTTCTTGACCACTGGCACGCTATTTCTCCCTTGTCTCGTCGTTGCAGTTGCTAACTCCGCTGGAAAAATCAATGGCATGTTAAATGGAAGATGCGCTGCGTGCTGTGCTTTCCCATCGCGTGGCGAAAGATTCACAAATACATATTAGGTTGTCCGGAAAAGCGTTTTGTGCACCTATTTTTTTGTACATTCACTGCTGATTAAAAACTCATTCTGCCTTGCTTCTCAGTAGCACATCCTGTAGAGAATTTCTTGCGCTATCTGATGGTATAATTGATAAACCCCTTTTTTCAAGATTTTTTCAAGCATGTGAAAAGAGCACTTCGGACGATTTTTTTCTTCGACTATAAATTGGGGCAATCCGCAATCGAAACAGCTCAACAAATTAACCAGGTGTGGGGGCCCAATAGTGCTAGAAAGCACTGTGCGGCAATGGCTCAACAAATTTCGTTCTGGAGATTTCAGCCTTGAAGATGAACCTCATAGCGGTCGACCTAAAGCAATATCTGACGAGGATTTTAGGGGGATTTTGGAGGCTGACCCATCCCAAACAGTTCGAGAGATAGCAGAAGAGCTAGGCGTTGGCAAATCCACTGTTGCAGATGGTCTGGAACGCATTGGGAAGGTGAAAAAACTTGACAATTGGGTGCCTCGGAGTGACCGGAAATTGGCACGTCTCGAGGTTCCTTCTGCATTGCTTTTGCGCAGCAGAAACGACCTGTTTTTGGGCCGAATTGTCACCTGTGATGAAAAATGGGTCATGTATGATAACAGGAGACGTTCCGGACAGTGGTTGGATTTCGACGAACCACCGAGGTAATTTTCAAAGCCCTCACGAAAAAAAGATTCTGGTCACGGCTTGGTGGTCATCGGCTGGTGTGATCCACTATAACTTTTTATCACCAGGCCAAACCATCACAGCAGAACCCTACTGTGAAGAAATCGACGAAATGTACCGAAAATTTTGTCAGATGCAGCCAACACTTATCAAAAGAAAGGGTCCGATTCCTTTGCATGACAACGCCCGCCCACGTTTCACAAATCACTATCCATAAATTGAACGAATTGGGGGTTGAAGTTCTACCTCAACCGCCATATTCTCCAGACCTTCACCAACCGAATATTCCCTTTTCAAACATTTTCAGAACTTCCTTGCTGGGAAATACTTCATCAATCAGGACCAGGCAAAAAAGCCTTCGTGGATTTTCGACCACCCAGTTTTTTACTTTGATGGGATTTCTCGACTGCTGTCACATTGGCAAAAGTGTGCTGATTCGAATGGTGCCTATTTCGATTAAATCCGATGAGTATTAAAAAAGTTACGATCGTTTAAAGTGAAACACCCAAAACGCTGAGAACTTTCCGGACAACCTAATACATACGTAATTTAGTCAAGAAGGCCTACCAATTTGATGATATTGACATGGCACTCCATTCACCCTCCAGTTGAACGAAATTTTTCCTGCTTTCAGTGAGTGAACTCGTTCAACATTTTTGAAGTTATTCTAATGTGTTTTATAGGATGCAAACCTGAAGACGGGTACAGCCATTCAAAGAATCTTGTTTGTTGCTGCTGGACAAACCTCTACAGGAACTATTTCATCTCTGATCTTCTACGACGAAGAATTTGTTTTGTCTTCCATGTAACCGAAATGGGAGAGGGGTAGCGGGGTATACGCTTCACGGTCTACTGTCTTTCGCACTGTGTTCGGAATTGACCAAAACATACACTCCATATCCTGCACATGTGAACGGCGTGGCTGCGCCCTTTCGAGTGTGGCAGAGGCTGCGGCTTCCTTTAAAGTTTTTTTGAACAATTGTAATCGAATTCGTCCCGCAGGGGCAGCACAACAGTTGCTCCAGATGCAAATATCCCACAAAAAAAGCGTATCCCACGCCATACTGAAACGGAGTATAGACGTCATCCGGGACTCGATTAGACAATAACGATTGTTCAGTAGGGCGCAAGTGGCTCACAAAAGAATTTGGGCGTGAGGTTGAATGCATTGCGATAGTCGGCTGCGGACTCACACCACATTCGACGCGCTTTACCTAAAAAACCCAATTTTTCGAAAACAAGCCGGATCTTAATCAACCTTTTTCTACGGGGGCAGATTGGCTGAAAGTTGGAGTTCTAGGGGTAATTCGACCTCCTGAACACGAATATCACATCCAACTTGGTCTGAAACCGCCTGGCGCCGGCGCCATAATGCCCAAGATCACAGTCAGCTAGCGCCCGCAGGGAGGTGCTAATCACCTACGTCTGTGATACTCTAGGTGCTTGTTTAATAAAGTTTATCTGTAAAGACATAAAAGGAGATCAAGAATATGGAATAGGTTCACAAGCCAGATCTTAATCAACCTCACAGGTAATAAAGAATTACAATAGGCATACAAAATGATACAAGGCAACGTTACAAGGCAAACGGAGGCACCAATAGAGATCATGTGTTCTTGGTAACGGGGGCATCGCCCTCAGGGAAGCTGGCAGGAACGGGCTGCAGGCTCCGGACCTGGCAGACGGTCGACTCCTCGCATCGTCCTGCTGCAGTCGCGCCACGCCCTGAAAAGCTAGCGTGAGTCATACCAAAACATGGAAGCGCCGCGCCGTTCGGCGCGGCTCACACCTCCCCCCTTTACCCGAAGTCCGTCCCGGACTTTAAAAGTGTCCGAGTCAAATGAGATCGTAGAAGAACACTTGACCATACAAGAAAAGAGATCTTACAACCTGAGATAGCGGTCGAGGTGGTAAGAAGGAACCACCGCACCGATGGAGTCGGCCCAGTGCAAGAGGCGGGCCCAGGTCGGAGCTTGCCGAAGTGAATCCGCATTGCCGAAAATGAACTGCCCGTGCCGACAACGCGATATCGCCACGTTGAGGCGGCGGTAGTCGTCGATGAACTCCGCGGCGTCGGGATCTAAATCAGTTCTTAGTGGTTAGCAACATAACAACCTCCTTTTCGCGTCCTTGTACGGAGTCCACAGTGGTTAGTTCGACGCCGTAGTGGTCCGTGTCGTCCCTCATCAACCGATACTGTTCCCTATAAAAGGTGATGACGCAGATGTTGCGAGGAGCGATTCCTCGGTGCATCAGGCGGGTGATGAACTGGTTGCAGATCCGCGCCTCCATATCGTTGGAGAGGGATTTGCTCTGCGCGCGCGAGGCTGTTCCTTTGACATCGACGAACATGAAGGGTATGCCCCTCGCTGGAAACTCCATCACGTTGAGGAGCATGCGGCGGGTATTAGCCGAGGTGCCACTGACCAGGGCGCCGTTCATAAGCGATCGTATTTGGGAGCGCTATGAGTGCCGGGTGGGACCTAAAGGTAGTGATTAGGGGGCCACCGGGACAGCTGGTGCGTGCACTAGGAGTGACATGACGCTACGCGCGCCGTGGAGTGCCGGGTTGGAGTTGGGAGGGCACTTCACGTGGGGGCCAGCTGGTGAACGTCGCCAATGTAGACATGGCGAGCGTGCTGTAGACGACCAGCTATGGTCAGGAGGGCGGGCTCCGGGATTTGAGACGCTTCGTCTCCAATCACGGCTCGGAAAGAAGGCGACGTAGGGGGCAAAAATTCCCACCGCTACCCGTCGAATTGAGCAGGGACGAGGTGGTCATGCAGATAACCGCCGGACGGTTCAGGTGGAACAGTAAGCGCACCATACGTTTGAGGGTACGAGAGACGTAGCGTTCAGCTATCTCGTACTCTTCTTTGTCGTCGTCCGACATATCGGGGACCAACGCCGGCTGCTCGAGATAGTCTTCGAGAAGCTGCCGGCAGCGCTTGAACTTACGGCAGGTTTGCAGATCCCCTGGTAGGAGGCGGTCCCTGAAATCATCAGGCAGCCTCTTCAAGACCTTACTCAGGTCGACCGCCGTCGGGCAGAGGTTCTCCGCAGCCGCAGTGTCGGAGATGTGCCGGACCACTTGCATCTGTGGAAAGTCGCGCAAGGAGAGCAGCGTCTCCGTGAATTGAGCAACGGCTGCATCACGATAACCGTCGTCTTGGACTTCGCAGCAATAATGGCCGCTATTATAGCCCCACGAGGGTTTTGCCGGTACCAAACGCGGCCTGTATTGCCACGAGAGGTATTTGCGCGGTGCCGACGCGACGGCGTCTTTCTGGTCGGGACGTCGTAGATGGGATTAGCTGCGATGGTGGATTTGCTTAGCCGCACGCAAAGGTCGATGACGCGTCCGTCTTCGCTGTCGCGGCCGAATCTCCTGATTAAGCTAGTGAGCGAGTTGTGTGACCAGCGGAACGCTTCTATGACTACGATGAGCAGCTTCTCGTGGGAGACAGCTGTCACGAGGTAACCTTGGTCCAGAGGAAACCGAGCGCGGTGCCCAGAGTACAACGCGTCGTCCAGGCGACCATCCAGCTTCGCTCGGCATACCTGTAAGGACAACTTCAGGCGGAGAGGGTACCATAGGGGGGTCACTACTGTTGCGGGCACCCAGTGCGTGCGTCGATCATCCCCTGCCGCGTTGACCGCAGCAAGCGCCGAACAGGCGGTGTTGCAGATCTTCGCTAACCTTTGCTTCGATCCAACCGGATCCCTGAAAAAATTAGTAAATGAACCGAGGCGGTCCTGCAAACCAATCTTTTTCTGCTAGGGAGATCTTAGACACCGTCAGAGGGAGAATTCGGGATGCATCGGAAGGAAACATCGAACAATATTAGCTAGCTGCTCGCGAGCGTGCAGTGATGCGGGGGGCTCTGAAAATCGCATTGCCGATGAAACGTTTTTGCGAGCGCGCGCCTTGACGATCTCGTATTGCCTGAGATTGTCAAGAGAAAAGAGCAAACGAATGGTGTAAGTTGTAACCGCATCAGGGCAACCTTCAAAAACCGCCGAGCATTGAGAACGCGGTTGTAACGGAAGGTGAGGGACAAGATCATGCCGTAGATGTCCTCCTCGCGGTCCTCGGGTGTGACGAAGGCGAAGTGGGAGACCCTAAAAAAGAAGACAGAGGTGGTCTCGAGAGCTGTCGTCCGTGGGACGGAGGCTTTCTCAAGAGTGGCCCTGGGGTGCTGAAGTGCTTGGCGGGAGGGCTTCAACGTTGTAGACCCACACGAAGTCCTTAGCCGATACCAGGGATTTATTGAAGCCACGACGTCCAGACATGATTTCGATGGAGAACTGGTCCAATGTGATACAATGGAGATCGCGCCTGTCCGGCCCAACGGTGAAAGAAATCCTTGGCCTCGAGGACCACTCCGGTACCCCATCCTGTGGTGACCACCTGGTAGAGAGCAGGTCGGCAGCCCTCAAATACGGGGGGTACAGTTACGTACTTATGCTGGTCGGTTTGGGCCAAGCCGGAGACATCCTCGTCCACGTATGAGCCATTCAACAGCTGGTCGATCACGAGCTTGGTTCGGGCTCGGAAGGCGATGGTGTCCTCGAGATGTTGCAGCTCAATAAACGGCACTGACTGGGGGAGCCTGTCGCCTCGGAACACCGTTTCTTTAAACAAAGATTTCATTAAAACGAACGATAAATAACCTGAGTCCGGAAGATGCCGATAAATGTTAACGTCCAAGGTGGTAGTAACCGTCGGACGGTTTTCGCGAAGGTACCGAATTGGGCGGGGATTAACAAACTCAGCCCAAGGGTGCTGGTTGATTAGGTAGTGCGAAAACCCGTCAGGGGTGAACCGCGGCATCTGGGACGTGTGAACCTGTGGAAGCGGACCACCCTGGTACGGACGAGGCGCTCTAGGGCGCTCATTATTACGAGGAGCTTGTGCTCTCCTCTGGGGAGCCGCTGGTGGCGCGGGCTGACGGTTGCGCGGAGCTGCGGCTGGTGCTTGCCTACGGTTGGCGGCCTGACCCCCACGTGAGCCGGAAGACGATCCCCCACGAGCCCCAAATGGGGCTTAGGTGACGAGCCTTGTCCTGAAGATTGCGCAGGTTCTGGGGTCACAGGCTGGCGACGGCTGGACGAAGGTCTGCTAACCTTTACTGGTGGACCCGTAGGTGAAGCACGACCTGAAGCTTGCGCGGGCTGTTTTGCGGTGTCGACACACAGCTGCTCCATGGAAGCGGTCATGGTAGCCATAGGGTCCCTCTCCTTGGGTGCGAGGTGTTGATCGCTGCGAAACCTACGCAACGAAGCGCTAGAGCAAGGAGCGTCCTCATTGGCTGAGGAAGAGAGAGACCTGCCTCGATCGAGGTCGTACCGAAGGTGCAAGAACGGTCGCCGAAGCGGTGTCATCTGTTGCCATAGGAGTCTCGTGGCTTTCCTGAAATAGAAGAATCTAACTCCGCGGGAGTGTGAGACACACTTGAAGAATCCTGGCTGGTCGGCTCAGATGTGTCCATAGTGGACTCATCCTTAATCGCCAAAGACGTGGTACTGTTCTCGACAACAGACGCATCGCGTCTAGTAGGATCGAACGCAACCGAATTATCATTAACGGGGACAGATAAACGTGACTCATTACCTGAAAGACCAGCTAGATCCGGGATGTCGAACGGTTAGCCATGACAGCAAGAGAGCAAAGACAAGTGCGGGTTCGTAAGAATTACCTGAAAGGGTCAAGATGAAAAAGGGTACACGATAAAGACTGTAACCTATGCGAGTACGATTTGCAGAAAACCGGTGAGAAAGCGAAAGAAACGGACGAGCTCAGACCATGGATGGAATTCAAACTGAGAAGGAGGGCGTATAAGCCGAGAGAAAGCGAATGAGACGTGAACATGACATTTGTAAGGACACAATCGGCGCTGCGATCAGCAGAAATTGACAGCCGTGTGCGTGATCGCACCAAGAGCAAAAATGAAGAGCTCGGCGTACGGTACTGTTCTTGGTTAATGACCAACCGGTCAGACGGATGTTCGACGAGACCTGAAACGAGTGTTATAAGATGGCTCACTACAGTAGGTTGCTCAGGTGGTGTTTCAATTAATGCTCATAGCCCACAATTGGTTCATCGGAAGCACCAGCTGCTGTGAGAGCTAATTGCTCGGCTTCGAGCAACCAAGGAGTGGTGAAAACTGGGCCAGATGGAAGGTGGCATCGCTTCACTTGATTCATGCGGATATGCAGACAATGGTCAGATGAGGGGGTTCTACCTTGATTACTCGAAACTGTCCCAGCCAGGGGTAACAGAGTTTCTGCGACAGCCCCACTTTGGGTGCCAAATCCCGAAGGTAAACTCGATCTCCTTCCTTGATAGAAAGGGGAGCGAGATGCGAACGATCGTACTGATTCTTATACCTGTTCCGCTGGCGCTCGTTGTACTGCGCTGCTGAACGCCATGCGGCGTGCAGAGAGGCAACCAGATTCTGGACGTAGAGCTCTGAATCTTCTAAAGATGGAAAATGATGCTCTAAATCATGTTTGATTAGCAAGTCTATATTGAATACCGGGTCGCGACCAAACATGAGGAAAAAAGGTGTATTATTGGTACTGGTATGGACTGAGGTGTTATACATAAATGCGCACGCGCTGACATACTTGTCCCAGTCTAATTGGTTCGCGTTTATGTACGTTCGCAACATAGGGTGGAATGTAGCGAAAATACGCTCGCACGCACCATTTCCCTCATGATGATACGGAGTGCAGAAATACCTGTGAATTCGAAGGTAGCGCCCTATTTCCGTCATCACTTCTCCTTTGAAGTATGAGGCGTTGTCCGAAACGAGTTGAGTCATTACGCCGAACTTCAAAATGCACTCTGTAATGATGGCCTGTGCTACCGTAACCGCTGTGCAATCAATGAGAGGCGCAGCGATTACGTACTTGGAGAAGTGGTCAATCATAGCAAGGATATACTTGTTACCGGCTTCCGAGGTGTGTAGAGGGCCTGTAAGGTCTACGTATACCTTGTCGAAGATCGCTCCACTGACTACTGGAATGAGCTGTTCCTGATTCATTGAATTTGGTCGTTTCCTCTGACATTCATTAAAGGCTCGCACCAGAGCGAAAATATCCTCAGCCATCTGCGGCCAAAAGTACTTACTTTTCGCGAGCGTTTTTCTCCAATTGAGGTGACCTCAAGAAGATGGGCTAGTGTGAATGCGCTAAAAATATGGGTTCCCTCAGCTTCTCAGGCACAACTAGTCGTTCGAATTTGAATGGGGCGCCTTCTGCTCGCTGTTCATTGAAATAGAGACAGCCGTTCTTCCTGATGACGCATTTTCGGCGAAAGACAGCCAGGCTGTCTTCTTCTCTTCACTCAGCGAAAGGGGAAAGCGCTGTGTCTCGATGAAAGACATGATCGCCGAACAGAATTCGTCCTTCCTTTGTTCCTGGAGAGCGTCATATGGTCGAATTGCGGATAGCGAACCGAGAAAGCAAAGAGTGGGCCGAATGGAATAGACCACCGGGGATACTTATTGATACTAACCGGGAATTCGACGATGTCCTCCGACTCTGGCGTGTCGTCTTGAAATCGTACTCTTGGATTGACCGCTCGGGAAAGAGCGTCCGCAACAACATCAGAGGAGCCCTTTGGTATTCAACGCTCGTCATAACTCTGAAGCTCCACGACCCATCGAGTTAGGTTGTCGTGGGTCTTGTTGTGCGTTAGCAGAAACGTGAGTGGACGATGGTCAGAGAAGTGGTTCCCGTAGATGGTCGTGCGAAAGAATCGCAAGGCACTAATAATGGCAAACAACTCTATATGCGTAGGACTCCATTTCTGCTGAGAATCAGACAACGACTTGCTGAAGTATCCAACGGCGACAAGCTGACGATCATCGTCGGAATTGTTCTGGAATAACGCGGCACCCACCGCCTGCTGACTGCCGTCAGTGTGAAGGAAAACTCCTTGTCTTGAGGAAACGCCAGACACGGCTTCAGAGAGCAAAAGGCGCTTGAGATGCTGGAAGGTTTCCTCTTGTTCTGTGCCCCAAATGAACTTAGCTTCATCTTTCAACAAAGCATATAACGGCGAAGCTATTAAAGCGAAGTTAGCTACAAATTTCCGAAAGAAATTGGCCATACCGACAAATCCTTTGACAGCCTTAGTCGTCGTAGGGGCAGGGAAGTCCTGTATGGCACGTATATTCCTATTGGTAGGAGAGTAGAAGCTACCAGAGATCTCATGACCTAGGAAATTTATGCGTGAGCGTGCGATCTCCGTAGCTTTTTACCAGACGCCTTGATATTATGGAGACGGAACCTGTACAAAACCTTTCTCAGAGACTCCAGATGACTGGGGAAATCCCTGTCGAAGAATGACAATGTCATCCAGATAAGCCAAGCACTTAGCTTCCAGGCCAGCTAGGATGCGCGACATAGCTCTAGAAAAATAGGCACCCGCATTTTTGAGTCCGAAGGGAAGGTACACAAATTGGTAAATGCCGCGATGTGTAGCCCAGCCACACTTTTCCTGACTCTCCGGCGAGAGGAAGAGCTGCATATATCCAGATGCCAGGTCAAATTTGTGAGCTGAAATCTTGGCAAGGATATCCTCAATTCGAGGCAACGGATAATGGTCTGGGATAGTGACCTCGTTGAGCGGGCGAAAATCCAGACATACCCGTAGCGACCCGTCCTTCTTTTTAACAAGTACGGTGTTATGGACCCACGGGGTGTCACTCTCACAATACGTCCTGCGCGAAGCAACTTGTTAATATGGTCGTCTAGCTCTTTCTGAAACTTGACCGGAATGCGCGGCGGACGAAAACGCGTGGGTGGTGTCTCCGTCGTGGTCTTGATGACAATTTCTGACCCTTCGTATGAACCTAGATCGTAAGATTCCGTTGAAATTCTATCCCTGAATTCGTAAAAGAGTTGGGCTAATTGCTCACGCTCTTCGTCGGATACCTCTGCATGCGAAAGATCAATACTGAAAGTACTGTTCTTGGTTTCAGGGCGGTCAGCCCTCGGTGACACACTTCCTATTAAAGGGGTCGATGACGAAAACGGCATAGAAAGAAGCATAGATTCTCCCTGAGAAAGTACCACAGCGGAGCAGATACACTGACCCTTGTAAAGGGTTTCTGGTCGAGATGAAGGATTGCTGACCAAGAGTAGCGCTTTACCCGAGTTGATCACTGCGGGAGTTACCAGGATCGATTTTTCCGACAGCTTCTCGTGTTGAGATACCAACATCAGCGTGCTTGAGTCATCACCCTCAGCTGTGCACTGCACGAAGGTCTCAGCTGATGGGGAGAGTACGGTAGTCTCCGAAACGCGCACCGACATCAGCTGATCTGGCGAAGGCGGCACCTCTTTAGGGGATGCGCACAATATTTTCACCTGCTGATCCGCTATAACCAGAGTGCGGCTGCCGTAATCGATGGACCAAGGAGGCAGCCTGCGCAAGAGATCGTTACCGAGAATGATGTTATAAGTCTCGACGGAGTCCGGAATACAGGCAGACTTAGTGAAGTATACCGGGTGACTGAAGGTCAGAGATCCGATTTCGAACGGCAAAGTGGCGTACCCTAAGAGATGAACTGGTACTCCTGCCATGCCAACCGCGCTAGTGACGTCACCTGTGGTGAGGTTGAATGCTCCGAACAAGGGGGCTGTTTCCGCTGTCGTGATGGTAATAGATGCCCCTGTATCCACCAGTGCCAGAACGCCTATATTGTTGACACGTATTGGGATTTGAGCTACGAAGAAGCGATCTCGATCGTGCAGATACAGAACGTTAACTGGGGCCATCGTTGCTCGGGGAGGCCACGACGAAGTGGCGTCGATCTTCACGCAGGCCACTTCTACCGGATCCGTAGTTGGTTCCGCCAATGAAAAGACACTGGGCTAGCTGGCGCTCGTGTTAGCGCAACCTGTAAGCCCCTCTGCGGATCACTGAACTGTTCTTGAATCCGGGGCAACTACCCGGAGTAATACACATTGCAATAGAAGGTAAACATTAGCTTTCAAGATACGAGCGGATACAACGACGGAGCAGATGGCGACGCAAAGGTCAAATACAGACCACGATCCAAAAGTAGAGGACCACATGGAAAAGGGCAAAGAACTTTGCGACGGAGAGATACGATCAGTCATGTGGCTACCCGCTGCACTCACGCTCAAGAAGTGATCTGATGAAGACGACGACCACAATTCCTGCCACTGATGGTCCTGTACGAGCTCACTAAGATTTGTCAAAATAAGATTATGAAAAATGGTAAGCGGAAGAGAAAGGGCAGATGCGTTAATACTAGTTGGGATTCCTATGTTGCGTATGGCGGAGAACGGCACGGCTTGCGTTTCTCCTGTAACGGAATCGAATCTCACATAGGAGGACCCATTAGAGAAGATAGAAGTGGCGCACCTCGTGACAGTGCGCTGAAGACGCATCATGAGACACTACTAAGTAGTAGGATCTAAGAAAGAAAAAATAGCCGGTCCGCTGGGGGGAGAAATTTTTGATTAAAGGCTTAGTGAAGCAAGTACCATTGAAGGGGAGAAGCTGGAAATGCCGTGACGGAATCATCATGCAGCGGTGAAGCTGCACGAGGTCGTTGCCGAGAAACGTAGCGGAGATGTCCTCACGAGCTAAGAGATTGCGAACTGTTAGGGTGGGACTAGTTGCTAGTGACGTATGAAGAGCGAAAGCCAACAGATTAGTTCTGTCGCATAAGGCGGACAGGGAGTGGTGAAACAGTGCTGAGACTCCAGACGCGACTGATCCCTCGAGAGCTAAGAGCTGCGCGGACAGCTGATTAGAGGTAATTATACCGGCGTCCGCGCTCGCCGAACGGGGAAGCCGGGTGACTGGCGCGATCGCGTAGCCCTGATCGGAGAGGATCAGCTGTGCTCCGCAGTCTTGGATACGGTCACTCGAGTCGCGCCAAGAAAGAGCGAATTCCTTGGAATCGCTGATAGATCTCTCCCAACCGACGGCCATCTTCATGACGGGTGTGAATCGACAGGCTTCTTCCTTGTTCGGGGTCCACAGCAGTATTGAACCGTCTTTGAGCACGCAGTTGCCTGATTCGTAGGCGCATTGGGCAAGGTTGCCAACTGGCGAGTCCGGATAATGTGAACCGTGACGCATGTGAACTACTGTACGGATGAGGAAGCAATTAGAGACCGAGATGGTATGTTCTGTGCAACATCCGAAAGGGGCCAATCGATAACCAAAGAGTTAGAAGTAGACCAAAAATTATCAGATTGGACCATCTCACCAAACTTCGCACCTGTGATGCTGAATCATAAGCTTGCACGCTTCATGCGATACGATGGTATGCGACTCAGAGCGATTTTCGTAACGCGCACCAAAAAGATTAACCGAGAAAACTACTGACTGCGTAATAATCTTGCACAGGAATGCGAGTGTATCGTATCGCCGGGTATTAGGGCGATAAACGTGAATAGAGAGTGCACGAGGAGTCTCTTCAATACGCGGTATTATACGTGAACAGTTATATGATGTAGGAATTCGAGCGAGCGCGTCAGCTGGGTCTTGAGGACACACTGAGGTAGGAATAGCCTCGCTCAACCCGTACATAAAAGCATACAAATAGGCAATAAACACTTGACATGAGGCAAATTCATAGAATGAGAAGAAGAGCTATGATTGCCAAAAGTCGAGTTTGATAACTCTTCGTTACGTCTCACCAGAGCAGAAACTCTGGCATCTGATTGCTCTAGCGCTGATTGGTTTTCGCGTAAAGAGACTGAGAGAGCTCTGATTTGTTCGCGGGCTTGCGAAAGCTCCCGATCGCGATTGCTACGAGGAGCAGAATTAGAAAAACGAGGTAGCGAAGTCGGAAAGGAACGATCACAAGAACGACTACGGAAATTAGATGTACCTGTACTTCGTCGCGGATCGCGTGGCGATGGGCAGAAGCGAGAGAAGTGTCCAATCCCTCCGCAATTGTAGCATGTTGACGACGTCCGCTGTTGACCCGGAGTGAAGTCCTCCTTCTCCAGATCGCTGAAATGTTCTAAGTGAATCGCGATTATTTGAAAACCGGGGCTGCTGCTGATACTGAAACTCCCTGGGCTGCCGTCTCGGTGGAGCGGCAGCCTTCACCTCAATCGGCTGCTGCACACTGGAGGGTCTGATCAGACGATCCGCTGTCGCTTCAGCGAGTAACTGCTCCACCATCTGAGCTTTGGCCACTGCTTGCTCGAAAGTCGCTGGGTTATCGAGCTTCACGTAGTACCTGATGTCGGGGCGAAGTCTCGCGACGAATTCTTCCAGCACGCGTTCTCGCTGGCTGGACGTGTCCTGTCCAGCGGTAGCTGCTCTCACTAAAAGAAGGAGCCGATTAGCAAAAGTAGCTGACGACTCACCTGTTTGCTGTTGGCAAGCGGCCAAACTCTGACGAGCCATGTACCGGTGTTGCGGTCCCTCGAAGGACTTCTTCAGATGGGCTACGATCGTCGCGTAGTCTTCGCGTTCGTCGTTCGAAAGTTCCTCCACCTTCTCTCGTGCTACTCCATCAAGGTACCCTGTAAGAAAGTACGCTTTTTGCTGTGGCGTCCACGAAGTGGAGCGCATCCGCATGACATCCTCAAGGCGGCGAAGCCACAAAGAGAATTGCATGGGATCCTCACCTGATCCACAGAATGGTACTATTCTTGGTAACGGCCCATCCGGGCTTACCGATGCAACAATGGGCAGAGAATTAATATGCTCACCTACTGCGGCAAAAGAAGTATTCAAATCAGTAAGTAAATTAGTATTACCTTCATTGATCATATGCGTCAGTCGCGTTGTTTCTGCCACTGAGTCGCTTCGTACCTCCGCTATGGCGAGTACGGTGGCATCACGAAGTGTCCTCGCCTCCCTCGCATGGATCGTAGCCCTATCATCCATGTCTGATAGGACGTTAGCGAGGTTATCTGCAGCGGACACCTCCATAGTTGTTCTTGAAGACAGGGCACCCGCCCTAGAAGAATCAGCAGAATGGGTCCGTGACCGTGTCACAGGAGCCATTCGAATACCAGAAGACGAGAGACGAGAGCCGGATCAGACGACGTAGCACCCAAGAATTCGAAGTTCGATGCCAATGATTACCTCCATCCGCGAGACTTCCAATGAGGAGGCACGGTACCGTAAACCGCCCGCGTATGTTCCTATCGGCGAATGTTAACATCCAGCCGCCGCGCATGGGAAATCTCCGATTGACAAGTTGTTTATCCTTGTGAACGGAAGAAAGGAATGTTTCAAAGTTTTCCTGCTTGGTAGCTGTCACGTCTTTGATCGCCGATGTTATGTTCAACGGAGATAGAGCACAAAGAAGCTGCGGAATGAATGCCTGGGAGAACTGTTCTGCGCAAAGCGTTGCGATTTGAACGTGCTACCGAGACTGCACAAAGAAGCATTAGAGAGCATGCTACGCGAGGCCAAAGCGTTAGAGAGCAAAATTTGAATTTGAACCACAGAAGGAAGATCAAGTGCTGAAACAAGAACAGCGCAAGTTGCCTTCGAACGTCACGCCGATTTCACCGAACGGACCTTCACTCAAAAAACAATTCTGTCAAAAAGAAGAGAAGCTGGAAGACCTGGGTCATCGAGCTGTTGCCCATAGCGAAGATACGTCATCGACAAGTTCCTCTGAGAGCAATATCAGGAATCAAGGAAACCTACCCAATGCCTCCCATCCAATCCAGATCAGCATCGAGAAGAAAATCAAAAAATGTTCGTTCGATGGTAACTTACCTGCCTCGATAATAGTGCGCTGGGCAGGATACTTGAAACAGTTGAAACAGTATCCATGATCGACTTTCAATGAATCTTGGCATCGTGTGAGGTCCTTTCTGATAAGATGTTGAAACCACCGCCAAGATATTACAAGTTTATTTGGCTAACGTTTCGGCCTTGTCGCCTTCGTCGGAGCCTTAGGAACGCACGGCTAGCTCGAATTCGACCACCGCTAAACTCTTCGACTTCGACTTTTCGACTTTTTTCCGGGAAACTGAAGCTCAAGCGATTTATATACATCCGCGGATACCTACCAGAATTCTCTCGTTTTCCCACCGGTGGATCACAACAGGCCGCTTTCACGAAAAATTTAACGTCCCTTCACATCCTCGACGACTGCGGCGGCCTCGACAACTCCCATCACATCTCTGGTGCACCAATCATTAACTCAGCGGCTACACGACTCCTGAACATGGGACGAACTGCTTCAAAATACATCTTCTCCTACGATCCTCGAGCTCGGCATTTCCTAAAAGCGCTTGACGGTTTATACCCACGTCACGGGTAGAGCTCATATCTAGAAAGCACTATGGACAAGGGTTACCGTACAGTACGAACAGAAAAATGCAAGAGCAAAGAGAAAAAAAGGCTTACCGTAAACGGGGCGTTCACAGAAAATACGGTAATCCATGTCTGGAGACGACCGAGAGGGCGAAGTTCTCCGAGTGCTGGTCAGCCGGCTGTCTTCCAGACGCGAGTGGACCATTCTCGCGCTGGCTCAACCGAGCTAGGCACAAGGGTAACTTACCTGATCTACACTTACCTTAGCGAGGGGTGAACCACTCGCTGCTACCAGTCAGCTAGCGCCCGCAGGGAGGTGCTAATCACCTACTTCTGTGATACTCTAGGTGCTTGTTTAATAAAGTTTATCTGTAAAGACATAAAAGGAGATCAAGAATATGGAATAGGTTACAGGTAATAAAGGAATTACAAAAGGCATACAAAATGATACAAGGCAACGTTACAAGGCAAACGGAGGCACCAATAGAGATCATGTGTTCTTGGTAACGGGGCATCGCCCTCAGGGAAGCTGGCAGGAACGGGCTGCAGGCTCCGGACCTGGCAGACGGTCGACTCCTCGCATCGTCCTGCTGCAGTCGCGCCACGCCCTGAAAAGCTAGCGTGAGTCATACCAAAACATGGAAGCGCCGCGCCGTTCGGCCGGCTCACATCATTAAATCTGCTGAAAACTTGTATACGGAGGTTATCTTGACATCTTGATTACAAATATCACATTCATTTTGGCGCTGGCGCTGATGGAAGACGCTGCGATTATCTGCGCTCTGGTAAGGCTGGCCTGACCTAAAGGAAATCACTCTCCCTCCCAGGCTCAGCCTTAGAAAAGCGCTAAATGGCGCTGGCGTCGAAAAATAAATGTCATATTCGTGATCAGGGCATCAAACAACCCCATTATGCAGGTTTTTATCAATTTTGATAAAAAGGTGTGGCGCCAAATCAGCGCCTTAGTGGCGCCAAATGGCGTCAGGGCTAAAAACTAATTCGGTATTCGTGATCAGAACATCAAATAACCCTACTATGCAAATTTACACCGAATTTGGTGGGAAAGGTGGCGGCGCCAAACTGGCGCCAATTCGGCGCCAGCGCCAAAACGAGTGCTATATTCGTGATCAGGACACCGAACTACCTCTGTGGGCGAAGTTTCACCAAATTTTTTTTGACAAGTTAAAACAAGTTACCTTAAAAAATAGAAGAATACAGTGAAAATTAGGGAGAAAATGGCCAAATTAGGCTGGAAACAGCTGATCGCCGCGGTCGTGACGCGCCGCAGCCGCGTCGCGACCCTTGCCGCCCTAATCGAGACAATATCGTTGTTTTGCGTAGGCTACGAGACGGTTAGTAGGGTATTTCGCAAGGGCAAGCGCCTCAGCGAGGCGCGAAGACCTCGGGTCATCGATGGGCGTGCCGGGTCACGCATCCCCTGGATGGCGGGACAAGTTAGGCCATTCCGGCTATTTTCTGCTTACTGAGCTGTTGCTCATTTCGACACAGTTGTGGCTCGTATCTTTACCTTCCTATAGACATTGCTTTGGTCTCTCTTTTCAACAGTGTGTGCCAGTTCTAGTCATTCTTATCGCTAAAAGTCTAATTTTAGATTCAGTGTGCGATTAACGCCAAAAATTTCTGCCGTCGAGTAGCAGAAGCAAAATGTAGTTTTTGACGAAGTTTCGGAGACAATAACGATTATTCAGTAGGGCGCAAGTGGCTCACAAAAGAATTTAGGCGTGAGGTTGAGTGCATTGCGATAGTCGACTACGGACTCACACCATATTCAACGCGCTTTCGACTTATGTCTTGCACTGCTGTAACAATAGCGTGAACTATTTCAGGGTATAATGCACTGTAGGCTAGAAAATCATCAGCTAGAAATCATAAAATGGCACTATTCAACTATACTACCCCAAAAAGTCAAAAAAATTTTTGGTGAAACTTCGCCCACAGAGGTAGTTCGGTGTCCTGATCACGAATATAGCACTCGTTTTCGGCGCTGGCGCCGAATTGGCGCCAGTTTGGCGCCGCCACCTTTCCCACCAT